GGCGGGTAGAAAAGGGCTTGGAAAGGGCAAAAAGCAAAGGGGAAAAAAAGGCAAAAAATAAAATAGGAGCCGAAGAAGGTGGAGGGAGGCAAAAGAAAGAGGAGGGGAAGCAAAAGAAGGAACCAACCATAAAGAACCAAACGCAGATTGCAAAGGCAGCCTGGCCCGGCGCTGGCAGCTCCCAGCCCTGGGCGGGGGTCCCTGGCTGCGGGGAGCCCTGCGCCTCGCAGCTGCCTTCGCGGGGAAGGTACTCCCAAAAACTGCTTGGGCAACGCCGAGAGCAAATAAGGGGAAATGATAGCAGGCATTACGCTGCTGGAAATGACAGAGTCAAAATGTCTCGCAGAAATGAAGTCCTTTCTGCTCTGTGCCCTTTCCCTACCAAAAGGCTGTTTGCCTGGAAAGTCGAAACTCGGTTTTATATGCAGGTGACAAGGAAACTCCAGCAGCAGCTGGAAAGGGAGAATTCACGGAGCTAACGCAGCAGCAAGTGCTGGCAGAAGGCCATGGAAGAGCTCATGGTTTGATTGTGTTTGCTTTCAGGCGCCTCCGGGAAAAGTGGAAGAGGTGGTGAAGTTTGCTATTGATACAGGCTACCGCCTCTTTGACTGTGCCTATTTCTACCAGAACGAAAAGGAAATAGGGAATGCAGTGCAGCAGAAGATCAAGGAGGGGACTGTGAAACGAGAAGACCTCTTCATTGTCACTAAGGTACAAGGATGGAGGATTACATTTAGCTTTGCTCGAAGAGAAAACCTTGTTCCATCTGTAAAGTAACCTAAGGTCTTATTCCTTCTACAATATTAATTTCATGGTTGTTTTGTTGTGCACTATGAATTCCATCCTTCATTTGCATGCACCCTAGAAAGATCAGGAAAAAAGACAGATGTCTAAATTCAAAAGTACTGTGCTATTTACTGGTGTGCAAAACATTTGAAAGTGGTGTCATGTACAAAATGTAAGCCTGAAAGGGAATAGAAATTAAGGTATGTGATTTCAATCTGAAGTATTTCCCATGTGTTTACTCCATTCCTGTATCTCATCCACTTGTCTCAGCAATGTTCTTTACCAAAAGGTAAGAACACTTCAACTAAAGAATTTATGACTTGGGGTTTTCACCAGCAAAACCATAAAACACTGAGCAAAACTAAGCTTTTCCACATACTCTTAATTTTTTTTAAAGAACATGTTTTAATTTGAATAATACTTGCAAGTTCTTCTATTTAAATGACTTGAATTTTCTTTTCAAAATTGACATAAAATTGACAACAGTTCTCATGGTGGCCAGAGAAACGAGACAGAAGGGAGGTAGCTGATCTGCTCAAGACTCAAAATTTAGTCTGGAATAAAAAATCACCTGGGACACTAACAGCTTTGCTGTGTCAGGTACACCTGGCAGTGTTACATTTAGTTCTGAGACTCTCTTTTCATAAGTAGGAATACTGATTGTCCACCTTCACTACTGACTGCCTTATTTGTGGTATGTTTCTCTTCCCTTACCTTAAAATATTGGCACCCATTAGGTTGGCATCCATTCAGGGTGCGCTGGGTAAGTGGGGAGGGAGTTGTTCTCCCAGACCACCAAGGGGGAAGCTTCTGTCCCTTGGGCTGGACTGTGGAAGCTGTAGAGTCACGGTCAGGCTTTGTTTCTTCCCGCAGTTGTGGAACACGTTTCACGAGAGGTCACTGGTTAAGGTAGCATGCAAGAAGAGCCTTGCTGCACTGCAACTGGACTACCTTGACCTCTACCTGATACACTTCCCTATGGGATTCAAGGTAGTCCTGCTCTACATTCCTTTTCTCCTTACCTGCCTAGAAACATGGGGCATTCTCTCATCTATGCTGTGACCATCTCCGTTATGCAGCTGGGATACGCTACGGTTCATTTGTCTGTTCCCTGACCCTGGTGGTAGCAAGCAGTCAGTCACTAACTAGGTAGTGGTATGTTTTAGCACATGGGTCTGTCTTTCCACACCTGTTGGAGTGAGATGGGTGTGGGTACGAGCACTGCTGATGTGCCCCTGGGTCTTCAGGGAAACTGTAACCAGCACAGGATAGTGCACCTTGGGACCGTGGCCTTCCGCTGGGCCAGAATGCTGTGAACATCTCACGTTTTGGAGATGTTGGCTTGATCCGGAGTAACAAACAGTGAAAAATGAAGCACAGTGCAGAAAGAATGTGCTGCTTTTTTTTCCCCAGTCTAATAAATAAAAACTCTAGAACAAGGGTATGGGGGTGTCTGCCTAATTCACTCACATAATTGCTACTAATCCTCACTCTTTGTATGCAAAGATTGATTTGTAGAATTATGTCCCTCATCCAAAAGAGAATAGTGATGAACGTGTATAATTTTTAGTTATGCAATATGTTTAAATAACCTGCTAATTTGCTGCCTATAATTCCAGTCAGAAGTGTTAGTCAACAGTAGGAAATTAAACTCTTAAAAAATATTCTATATATTATCTGCATTGAAATAACAGGCTGGTGAAGAACTGCATCCTGTGGATAACAGGGGTATGAGTATTCCCAGTGATACTGATTTTCTGGACACGTGGGAGGTAAGTTAACGTTTGCTCTTTTGAGCAGGTGTCAGCACTAAAGATGGAGCAGAGATCTGCCTGCACGATGAAATTAAGGGATAGGTCTGGGTACGTAGGATAGTCACACAAAATTGTATTTCATGACCGGAAGGAGCAGAGCTGCTGCTACCCCTTGTTTTGAGGAAGAAGAGGGGGATGTCTTTAATAAGACTAAAGAGTAGGAAACTATAAGCACTGTAGGTGCTGTCCCTAAAATAATATTTGAAATACACACAACGGTAGAACTGAAGCGTGGATTGATCCAGGTGTGGCTGTTAATTTACTGGGTGTTTCATACAGACAGGGAATTCTCACTTCAGTGTTGGGCATCAGCTTCTCGTGCTGTCCTTCAACCCTCCTTGCCTCGTGGACTGAGAGGATTCAGGGTCTGCTCCTGTTGCCTGCACCTCTGTGATGCTACAGCTCTGGGAGTTAATGGTTTTCTCTACAATAGCAGATTGGAGTTGCAAGAAAGTGTTTTGAGCTAACTGAGTTTAAACTAACATCCTCCCGGCCGTGTTCTGCCAACTCAGAGGTAGTGTGCTGGCATGGGAGGAGGTGGAGGGGTCTCCCTTGCTTTTTTAGCTCTGGTAAAAAGACCCCCAAAGCAGCCAAAGCAAAAGATTTTTCTTCCCATTACAAAAGTTTTGGCCAAGCTGTTCTTTTTATATTACTTTCCCATCTGCAATAGGACATAAAGCATACAGATAATACAAGGTGGAAAAATTTTTTTTTTTTTTTTTTGAGATTCTATTATTTAATGTAGTGTGGGTGATTTGTTGGTTTGTCACTAGCTTTAGGGAAATAAAATAGTGTAGCTGACAGTAATGCCAGCTCATAAAAAACATTGGTTGTCCTTACTCATTAGGCCATGGAAGAGCTGGTGGACTGTGGTCTGGTGAAAGCCATTGGTATCTCCAACTTTAACCATGAGCAGATTGAAAGAATCTTGAACAAGCCAGGACTAAAATACAGGCCGGTAAATAACCAGGTAAGATTTTTATTTCCATTGATGTCAGCTAATCTTGCAATATTCCTGAATATATTCTTGCTACACTTCAGCTCTAAAACTGGCTTTTGCCATGACCTTTAAATAGTTTTGGTGCCATGGAAAGATCTTACAAAGCACTCTGATTGTTTGAAAGTCCCTTCAAGTCAGTACTGCCTGCAATATGCAAAGCTTTGGTATGGTGTCAGTATTGATGGTTTTTAGCTGACAGGGATCTCAACAGAAAACTTTCATTATATTATATATTATATA